CCTCCTCTCCATTCTATGGGGTCCCCTTGCTTCTTTGCTTTCCTCCTCTGGGACTCGCCTCCACCCCTCCCACAGTTTCCCACTTCAAAGGGAAAAATCCAGGTTCTTCTTCAGGAAATGGAAAACCCAGATCCCTCTTAATAAGTTAAGAAACCACGAGGCTGGATACAAATATAGATTAACAAAGCAGATAAGTGCCACCTTGTGTTTGAGTGGGAATGCAGCTCGGTGCCTCTGGAGGGTTCAGTGCCCTTCATCAGAGCTTTGTAGCCCATGGGAACCTCCTTTTCCACTCCCCCATGAGCTGCAGCTGCATCCTGTTGGCCTTCACTTGGTTATAATGGCTGCTTGCCTCACAGGTAGGCAGGGCAGTACACCCGATGGGCAGTCTGAGGAGCTGGTTGGGATGTAGAGGGGCTGGTGTGGCTAGGACAGTGTTGCAGGGTTCAGAGGGAGAGGTGGCAGGTGAAGGTCTGTGCAATGGAGGGTTTGTTTGTGGGCCTGGGTCTTGCTGTTCGGGGGTCACTTTTGGGTGGTGTATGTGATAGATCCCCCAAAGAGCAGCCCTGGGTGAGTCTCCCTCCCCAGCAGGTTGGGCTAGGTTGTAGCTCCCCAGGTTAGTTTGGTAATGACTGACTGTAAGTAAAACCCGCAGAGTTAATGGGTAGTGGTTAAGGTTTTCTACAAGGCTGTGTTTTTCCCTTTTCCCCTCTAATAAACCCAGTTTTAGTTGGATGCCATTTGTGAGTGGGAAAGTTTGTTCATTTTAGAATACCGAGTTAAAACTTATTTTTCCAGGTTTCTGGGTGGGTCTCATTAGATTTAGAAAGTTGGTCTTAAACCCCTAAATTTGAAACCAGCCCTTGTTATTGCTGTTTAGGCCTGACAGAAGGGTTACATTTTATATCATGTAAACATGTCAGTAAAAAATGTTAAGTTTTTCAGTTAAAAAAAAAAAAAAAAAAAAAAAAAAAAAATCTCTGAGTTGGCAACACTGTATTTAATAGCTCTAAATTGACCTGTCCTTCATTAATTTGTTTAAACCCTTTGTCAACCTGGCTCTACTGTCTGTCTCTACCACCTCCTATGGCAGTGAGTTACACAAATTAATTATGAACTGTTTGGAGGGAAAAAAATAGAAGTATGAACTTCTTCTTTGTTTTAAATCTGTCTCCGGGTAATTTCAGTGGGTGTCACCTTGTTCTTGTATTCTGGTATTTTGTGATTTAACAATTCCCTATTCACTTTATCCACAACTTCCAGGATTTTATAAATGCCTATCACATTTCCGCTCCCCCCACCCACTTCTCCTCACTCTTCTATGTTCCAAGCTAAAGAGTTGTAGTACAGCAACTGCTCTATAGCCATGATCATTTTGCTCTTCTAGGTACCTTTTCTAGTTCTACATGGTGTTGTTTTGTTTTTTTTTTGTTTTGTTTTGTTTTTGTTTTGTTTGTTTGTTTGTTTTAAATGTGAACAGCAGAGCTGTATGTAGTATTCAAGATATGCATGCACCATGTAATCTCTTATGTCAGAAAATGTCTAGGTTGCATTGCATCCAGATTGACCTATTATCTTTGCTCTCAAGTACAGCTCCTTAATTTTGTAATCTTTTTGGAAAACTGATATGCAGTTACAGCTGGAGTAAGCCGCTTTTTTGAGGCATTTGTGTTTCCATTGGTTTCATAGTCTTTTTGGTTGTGGGAACAATAAAGGCCATCATGATAATATTTAGAGTACTATCTTGTTGAGCAGGACTCTTATTTTCTGTTATGTTTGCCTCTCAACTTCTACCTTTTATCACCCCTGCAACCCATTAAATTCCTGCATCACAGTTCAACCTGGTCAGATAAAACTATGAGCAGTAAGACTCCCCTGTTCAGTAGGTTGGAATCTGAACAATATGGACAAATAAGATTTTCATATAGTTATAGTATAGTTTCTGCCTAATGGAAGGGTGCGGGCAGGACCTAGCATCAATGGCACTTTAGTGGTCATGGAATTAAGTGTGGTGCTACTTGTTTAGATTAATGCATGTGTTCTTATCTGTTCTTTGTAAGTAGTTCTAAAAATTAATTCAATTTTTGACCACACGCAAGCCAGCTGTAAACCTTCTGTCTTTTACATTATCCCTCCAACTTCTGTGAAACCTTCTACTTCATGATTTTAACCTGTTTCATCAGGTGTCAGAAAGAACAGAAATAAATGCATTCTCATCCAGTATCACTATCCTAATGGAAAGTTGGAATAGAAACCAAAAACTCCTTGGAGTTTCCATACTGCATAGCCCTGGGGGCACTGGGCATGCTTTATACTCCTACTGTAGAGTTCCTGGGAACATTGGTAAGAAGCATATTAAGCTTAAATCTGAGACTTCTTCTCATATACCAAGCCCAGGAAGGAGGTAGTACAGCTGCCCTGAGCATGTTCTCTACCACCATTCAAAAGATATGTCTCAGGTATGTTTGAGAGGTGACATCAAGATGTTCATGATGGCTTTACTTCCTCATTTCCAGGTTTGGCACTTGTGTAGCAGGAACAGGTTTGTATTGTGTGTGCTTCTTGGCAGAGCTCTTGGGAGCATTGCAGGAGTGATACAAACATATTCTCAACTCATGCCAGGTTTCTTGCTGATTCCAGTCTCTGGAGAGCATTAGGCATTTTACTACCTACTCAACACTCTGGCACGTTACATAACAAAACTGGACAGGAAATTTTGTGCCATTTCTTGTAAGGTTGCCTGTGAATTCAATATAATTGCTGAGACCAACCAGAAACTGGCCCATGGTCACATCACAGATCATAATATAGAGATGAGGCAATTGGTTTGTCACCACTTTTTCTGAGCAACCCTGGATTTCTTCCTCTACTTGAAGTGCCAGTATTTATTTTAGTTTTAGTAAGGTATTTCTCTAGTTGTGGTATTGAGTCGTCTATTTTAGACAAATTTTAGAGGGATCACCCAATATTAAGTTGCCTTTATTATTTTATGCCAGGGATGCTTGGCCCACAGAGCCATTGGTTTGCCATCTGCTCTGTAGGGGTCCCCCATATATCTGAAAATGTAAAGGTGGGGCACTGGTAGCAGCAATTGCTGCTCCCCTGCCATCAACCCCGTGAGCCAGATCGCACATTAGAGTTAGCTTAGTGTGCAGAGATGGCCCAGGGCTTGGTCCAGGCATACAGGGGCTGGCTGAAGACCGCATGAGTCCCAGGGTGGATGGATGCGATGCAGGGTCCTGATCCAGCTGGCAGCATGGTGCCAAGGAAGGTGGTGCAGGGCCTGATCCTGGTGCTTGTGACCCTATCTGGTCTGCAGACTGGCCACATGCCACTCATCTGGTGTGCTGCAGCAAAAGGTTGAGCACCCACCACAGATCTATGGGATAACTTGTGAGAGACACTAGAACCACCTTAAATTTCTTTGCTCATCAGAATTGGGCATCCCATGAGGGATGGGAAAAAGCACTTTTTACTTTCTTGTTCCTTTTGTGGTAGGGACTTAACCTTTTAGAAGCCACAGTTTAGAACAACTCGGCTCTGGTCCAGTACAGCCTGGGTGGCTTTCCTTACACCAAGGCCAGGTCAATAGGAGATGCACCCACATCACTGCTGCTTCTGTCAGTCCCCAGTACCCCAGGGCCAGGTATCTGCAAACTGCATCTGTGTTGCTGCCACTTCTCAATCCTTCCCTCCCTTCTGGCTGTGGTGCCATGTGCAGGTGGAAGCTGCCTGGCCCCTGCACAGCTCCCCACTGGCTGAAAGTTGTGCCCTGGCCACAGCCTAGGAGGGTGTCAGCAGGGAGGGAAGTGGGGAGAGTGGCAGCTATGTGAATGCAGTTTGCAGATACCTGGTCCCAGTATAGGTCTTCACTGGCTGGAAGCTATATCTGCAATGTGTCTGGGGAGTAATGGGCTGGGAGAAGTGGTGGCAAAGTCACCGGTTGCTGACATGTCACAACACCTAGCCCATGTTAGTCTGGAGCCAGGAAAAGTAACAAAAGTGCAGATACACTTGGTGGTTGCCCAAGTCCTAGCATGGGCATAGGTAAAGCCCTCCAGTTTTGCAGGTCAAATGTTACCAATCCCTGTTTTATAATGTTCCGTATTTTCTATAATTTCACCCTTCTATCCTCACTGCAGAGTTTGCAGCTGTGATTTGGTGTTGTGTATTATTTTCAAAGCTTGGATTATTTTAGTTTTGGTGGTTATGTTGAAAACTCACTGGTTTGCCTTTTTTTTTTTTTTTTTTTTTTTAGTTGTCATTAGTAAGGTTGCTGCCTGTATTTCTTAGTACTTGGAAATTGAATGAGAAAGCTTGGTCTGCTGAGAGATTCTAAATCTAAATTGCCACTTTTTTTGGTTGTGGAGAGAAATATCTGTCTTGCATTAGTAAGAAGATAGAAGTCACACTCTTAATTACGTTGTTTGAAAATAAACAGAATTACAAGTAACTCACTCATTTTGGGGTTCCTTAGTGCTTACTATTGCCCACCCTTAATATGGGTAGAAGGATTTTGTCTACCATTGATACGGTTAAAGATTTTGGACTAAGTATCCATTCAGTATAAGGAAAAATGTTTTGGTATAAGAAAACTTGTTGAATTATCTTTCTCCAAGAGTTCTCTCTCATTCCTGTGCTGTAGAAGTGTTTATGTTTGTCTTAATGTCTTCCTCCTCTATTATCAAACTTTGCAGAAATGCTGCAGGCTTGTTTCCAATTACTCCTGCCCATATGTAGTTCGTGCATATGTACAAACCTTGCCTTAAAATAACACCACATCTGCAGCATTCAAAACCTCTGTACTGGAAAGGAAAAAAAATCAGATTTTTAACTGCCTTCTGATGGATTGATTTGCTGTAATTTAATTTAATTGACATCATAGCATTTGTGTAAATTTCTGTTCCTAATGATTTAGAAACTAACTGATTTTTTTTTTTTTTTTTTTTTTTTTTTTTTCTTTCTTTCTCCTCCATCCCTCCCCCCTTGCACTTTTTTAGGTTCGGCATGGTGCAGGCACTGGGCTGAGGGAAATACTTAAAGCACATGGGAAAAGTGGTGGTAAAATAGGAGACAGTACGGTAGAAGAGGTAAAATATAAGTGTATGGCAGGTGGTAACCAGCTTCTTGATATGAAAACTAAGCAATGGAATGAAACTAACTGATATTTAAACGTGACAGGGAGAAAAGTTATCTTTTTGTAAACTGTAGAACTTCTCTTCCCGTCTCTTGGCAATACTGAAAATGCATTTATTACTAACATTTTTAGGACTCTGGGAGGGTGTTCAAGGTGTAAGGTGCTAATTGCTTAATTGAATGATAAAAAAATATAATTGAAATGATTAAAATGATCCAGCATGGGGCAGTCCCAGAGTCCAGGACACAGCTGTCGCCTACCCAAGTGGGCTGGGGCAAAACCAGTCCCTGGAATCTGGGCCATCACCTGACACCCAGAGGCAGATTTAGAGCTGGGGAGCCCAGTCCTGGGAACCCTGTGGAGTGGGGGTGGAGGCAGAAGCGCAGCTCCCAGCTGTGACTCATAACCTTTTCAGCAAAGTGTTCCGATTTACAAAGTTACCCCAGACCAAACAGAAGTTCACTGTTGGTTTCAGGGGGGACGGGGATCTAGCTGGGGCTGGGAGCCTGGAGCCAGGTTTCCATGGCAATGGCTGGGGTGCTCTGCCAGTGCTGGCTGTTTTCAGAATGGGAGTGGGGAAAGGCAGTGGAGGGAGCTTGTTCTTGGGGCTCCCCAGCTGGTGCTGAAGAGTGGGGTAGGTGAATTGGAGCTACCACACCTCGGGTGGGGGTTGCTCCAGTACTCCTGCCCCATCCTCCAGGGGTGGCTGAAAATCCCCCAAGCTGAACTCCCTCTGCTCCCTTTCTCTCCTCCCATTCTGAAAACAGCAACAGGCTGGATGTAGCACAGATGCAAGTTACAAAAGATGCTACATTTTTAAATGTCTGTCTGATACCTCATGCGGTGCGGGGGTCAGATTTTCACCCAGTCAGCCATTTTTTAAGCTGTCTGCAGCCGTGCCCTTGTGTTTGGTCACAGCTATAGACTTTTCTTTGGCCAGATTGGGCAAAAATAATCACTTTTGTCTGCACCCTGGGATGATTAAAAACTGTGCGTGCCACCCAGCTGGGGTTTTGACAGTAAGCTGATTGTAGGCTGAGGCCAGAGACCTGACGGGTCAGTTCCAGACCCTGGTTTGGTCCCCAGCCCCAACTGACAATCGGCTGATTGTGTATACCCAGCTTTCAACTTATTCCTGATCCCAGGCTCTGCTCTGGCAATGTTTAGGTTTGGGGATTAGAGTCCAAAACATGCATCCTGCCATTAGTAAATTTGGAGGTGGGGTTTGCCTATATAGCTAGCCCCTCCATACATTATCTGTATGAAACCTGATCTCGCATGCTGCTGGCAGACATTCACTTGAAGTTATGATGGAATCTGACCAGTCATCCCAACAATCATGCCTTCTGCCATACCATTAAAAATAAATTACTTTTGGGCATCAAATTGTGACACACAGTAGAAGCAACAAAAAGCAGCTAAGAGCTGGTATTCTAAGATCTCCCTACAATGTGTGAATTTCACTGTCAGCAGTTTAGATTTTTTTTTTAATCCAGTCATAATAAATATTTAAACATTACATTATCCTCTATGAATTTACATTAAAAATTGAGTAGTATTTTTATGAATGAATGCAATAAATGTTTAACTTTTTCTCTTTCATTTTTTAAATTGTTTTCTAAACAGATGGCTCAACAACATCAGGAGTGGTTGGAAGACTTAGTTATTAGACTTCTTTGCGTCTTCGCATTAGACAGGTTTGGAGACTTTGTTTCAGATGAAGTAAGTGTCAAAACTTAGACTGCTAAATCTATTCCCATGGTACACTTCATACAGAAATATCTGTGTTGATCATTTGCTATGTCCTAGGTTGTAGCACCAGTACGCGAGACCTGTGCTCAGACTTTGGGAGTAGTATTGAAGCATATGAATGAGACTGGAGTTCATAAAACGGTGGATGTTCTTCTGAAGTTGCTCACGCAGGAGCAGTGGGAAGTTAGACACGGTGGCCTTCTAGGAATAAAATATGCTTTGGCAGTCCGTCAGGTAGTCGTTTATTTTGGGGCTTTTTTCCTGTTCAAAGTCAGTATAGTTAAGACAGCACAGAAAATGAAGGTGTGGTTGTAGCACAGAGAAGCATGCTCTAGCTGGCACGGAAAGCAGTTGTACTAAAGATGTAGTGACACACTGCCTAAACCT